GCGCCCCCCCAGCCGCTCCGGGAGGCATTGCTGGCACGAGTTGTGTCAGGTCTCGGCGCGGCGCCGGCCGACGGGGCAAATAATAGTGTTTTTTTTCTTTTTTTTTTCTGTTTCTTTGTTTTCTGGCGCGTTGCCGGGGTGGGGGGGAGGTCCTCCTGGGATGGGTTGTTGTTTTGTTTGTATTTTTTTGTTTTTCCTTTTTAAAAAAGTTTGACCCTTTTCCTTCTTCCTTTCCCTCGCTCTTTCCTTCGGGTGTGGGTTTTGCTTGTCGTTGTCGTCATCGTCGTCGTCGTCGTCGTCGTCGTGAGTCCACGCTCTCCGTCGTCACCGCAAGGCTGGGCCTGGTGCTCGGGGACGGGGATGTTCCTCTGGGGGTGCCTAAAGCAGAGGAGAAGGGAGGCGAAGGGGCGGCACGGCGGCGGTTATCCCAGGTACCAGGACTGCCGGGAGAGAAGAGAGAGGCTGGCGTTACTGCTCTGCGCCGCGGAGCCGCTCCGTCCCCCCAGCGTGTCCCCCCCACCCCGGGACAGCTGTCCCCACGCTGTCACCCTGCTCGGCTCGCCTTGCCGCCCCGCACGGGGGCTGCTGTCCCCATTCCCGCACCGAGTTTGTCAGTCCTCTGCGCCGGGGCCACCCGCGTCCCCCTTGGTGGCCGCTCCTTCTGCACCTCCGCGGTGAAGGCGACGCTCCCTGGGGAACGGTCCCGCCTGGGGACGGGTAGGGGGGTGGCAGGGCTGGGGACCCTGCGGCGGGGCCCCCTGCCACCCTCCCATTGTCTCCCCCCCCAGCCCCAAGTTCAAGTTCGGCCCCGATTACCTCATGTCTGGTTTCTGTTGGCAACGAGACAGCTCTGGGCCGCCGCTTCCCTTAACCCTTCCCAGCCCCGCCACACATGACCCAAGAGCAGCAGGTCTCAGCTATCCCTCCCGGGGAGGCGGGACACCGCTTCGTTTCCCCGTGCCTCAGTTTCCCCATGCAGACCATCCTTGCGCCCTGGGGAGGCTCCCGGATTGTGACCAGACAGACGTGCCCAGGGACAGGGACCCTGGGGTCCCGGGGCTGCGAGTGGCCGTGACCCCCGGGGGGCTGGGGGGTGCGGGGACCCCGGCACCCTGCTCCCCCAGGGCTCTCCTGGCGCTGCCCCATGTCTCCTCTTTAGGGACCCAAATGCCTCGGGGTGCTCTGCCCACGCGTAGGATTGGGGAAACTGAGGCAGGGCAGGGGGCTGTGGTCAGAGCCAGGCCCCCAGTGTTTGCCCCCCGCTACGACACAGCACCCTTGGGTGTCCCAGCTCACGGTCCCCGAGCGCTTGCACCCTGGCACAACACAGCACCCTGGGGTGCCCTACGGCACAGCTCACGGTCCCCGAGTGCTTGCACCCTGGCACAGCACAGCACCTCTGGGTGCCCCACTGCATGGCTCAGCACCCCGAGTACTCACCCCCAGCGGGTGCAGCACCTCAGGGTGCCCCGGGCACGGCGCCATCCACACACCCATCCCGCTACCCCGGCACTGGTGTCACCTGCCGGGCAGGGCCACAGCCTCCCGAAGCTGCCCCTGCTGGCACCGCTGAGGCTGGCCAACTCATATCACAAGTGAGGCAAGGTGCTGGCACTCCTGCCCTGGCCCCGCGGCACTGCCCACGGCGCTGGCGCCGGCTCACCAACTACCGGTTAAAAAATACCCAGGACTAATGAAAAGCCCCTGGAAAGGCGCACGGCACATCCCGCTGCGGCTGGAGCAGATGGTGGGCGCAGTTGGGCGAGAGCAGGGTGCCCGTGCCCACCCGGAGAGGGGACACACGGCCCCGGTGCCCCTCGTTCGGGGACGCTGGGGGCACCTGGGCAGCCCGGCTGTGCCGTGGTGCCAAGCAGGGCACAGCTGGAGCCTGGCGAGAGGAGAGCAAGGTGCCAGGCGCGGGCATGGCAGCGACCTCCCTCTGCCCTGTGGGACTCTTGGTGGCCCCGAGCCACCAGCAGCACCCAAGGCCAGGGCACCAGGTGGCAATGCCCACACTGGGGATGCCATGGTGGCAATGCCCATGGTGGGGATGGCCACAGCGGTGATGTCAAGGCAGTGACGCCCACAGCAGCAGCGCCCGCAGTGGCAATGCCAAGGCAGTGATGCCATGGTGGTGATGCCTACGGTGGCAGTGCCCATCACAGCAATGCCCACAGCGACGATGCCCACGGTGGCAATGCCCACGGCAGTGATGCCCACGGCAGTGATGCCCATGGTGGCAATGCCCATGGCAGTGATGCCACGGTGCCAATGCCCATGGCAGCGATGCCCACGGCGGCAATGCCCACAGCGGTGATGACCACAGTGGCAATACCCATGGCAGTGGTGCCACTGGAGCTGTGCCGCGGCGGGGATGCCCACGTCAGCAATGCCACAGCAGCGATGCTCACAACGGCGATGCCTGCAAGGGCCATGCCCATGGTGGTGATGCCCACGGCAGTGATACCACGGTGGCGATGCCCATCGTGGCAACGGCCACGGCGGCAATGCCCACAGTGTGGCAATACCATGGCAGTGATGCCACGGTGATGCCCATGTCAGCAACGCCATGGCAGCGATACCCACGACGGCGATGCCCGCAACGGCCATGCCCACGGCGGCGATGCCCACGGCGATGCCACGGCGGCGGTGCCCGGGGCGAGGGCAGGAAGGTCCCCCCAGCAGCATCCCCGCTCTCACCTGTGCCTGATAGATACTCCCAGGATCCCTTGGTCCTAATCCCACGAAGGAACGGTTCGCAGGGGGCGTGCCTGGTGCAGAGTAGGCTGGGGAACAAACGAGAGCTCGTTAACGGGGCTGCCGGTGGCACCGCCATCGTCCCCCCCGGGGCCAAGCCTGGCCCACTCCTTGGCACCGCTGGGACGGGCGTCCCGGGCACCCGGAGCTGGCAGCCGGGTGACGTCCCTGGCTGCACCCCGGCTGCAGGCGAGTGGAGGCCAGGGGTGCTGCGCCCGGGGCGGTGCCGCCTGTGCCTGTGCCCTGCTGGAGGGGCGGTTTCGGGGCGACGGCAGGCTGGGGGTGGCGCGACACTCCCGGGGTGCAGGCGCAGACGGGCGTTCCTCTGCTGTGCTGGCGCTGCGGCTTCCCGAGCAGCAGGGCAAGTGCGATGGGAGCCACCAGCTCCACTCGGCCATGGCCCCCCGCTGCCACCTCCACCCCCAGCTGGGGGTCCGGCAGCAGGACCCCCGGCCCCGCTGAGCTCCTGGGCTCAGCCCCGTTGGAGGCAGGGTGCTGCCAGGGGGCTCGCAGCCAGCTGGCCTCTGCGTCCCTTGGGGACAGCCAGTGTCCCCCGCGCGCACCCTTCCCTGAGCCTGGGGGGGGACTGGCACTGCCCGGTCCCTCCTCGTGGCCGTGGGCCCGTCACCGGCCGGGCCACGCCACCCCGAGCTCTCTCCTCCAGATCGGCCAGGCTTTGATTTCTTCACGCCACACAACCTCGACGCCTGCCGGCCGGCTGGCAGCACCCAGCAGCGGCCTGTCCCCCAGGGATGGTGCCCCCGGGCAGGGCTCAACCCCGTGGGGACGTGGCAGCCTCTCGGGGTACCAGGAGGTGTCCCCTGCAGGTACAGCAGGACGGGGACAGGGACAACCCCCTCAATGCAATGGCACAGCGTCCCACCACTGCGGAACGCGGCCTGATGCCAGCCCAGGGGCAACACCAGCGTCTCCCCTTTGCAGCCCTGGGGCCCAGCGCCCCAAAATCCTCCTGGCCAAAGCCCCCTGAGGCGGAGCGGAGGGGGACGAGCTTGTCAGCCACCGCTGCTAACGAAGGCCCTGCAGGCGCCTCCCGCCAAGGGCCCTGGAGGGGCTTCACGCAGTCCTTGCACCCATGTCGCTTCACAGCCCCTGCTCAGCTCGGGGGCCCCAGCGCTGGGGACCCCTGTGGCAGTGAGACGACGGCAGCCCTGTGCGCTGCGCCAGGCATGCTGCCCCCAGCCCCAGCGCCGCACCCAGGCTGGCTGGTCCCCGCGTCACCAGCAGCACTGCTGCTGCCCGACAGTGGGGAAACTGAGGCGCGGAGAGGCGACAGCCTCCCCCACGAGCCCTGCCCGCGCCGGGGGGGTTTGGACAGGACACGGGCTCAGGGGAGCCCCACCATGGCTCCGCTCCCGCTCCCCCAGCCGTCTCAGAGGGATGCAGGGCTCGGGCCGGTCCCTGGGACCAGCGCGGGAGCCCCCGGCTTGGGGGACAGAACAGCTGCCTGCCCAAACCCTGCCCGCTCCGACCTGCCTGAGACCCAGCAAACTCATTGCGTGCCGGCTGCCGCCCTCTCCCCGGCTGCGGGGAGGCCACCTCCGCCAACATCCCCCCAGCAGCACCGAGACGGGGGGGGACAACCTTGGGGGGCTGTGAGAGGAGGGGGCCAGCCGGGCCGGGGAGAGGGGTGGGCGCCGCGGGGTGCTTACTGGGTGATGTCGGTGAGGTCGTCCCTCCCTCGGTAGTTGTCGTGGTGGATTTGGTGTCAGGAGAGACGGCCAAGCGGGGCATGCCGGGGGGAGGTGGCGGCGCCAGCATCTGCGTGGGCAGGTAGTGGCTGGGCACTTTCACTTGACCACTTCCATTTAACTGGGGACACAACACAGACAGAAAAACAAACAGCACAAGCCATTAGGAAGCACGCGCAGCACCGGCAAAGCCGGCCCGGTGAGCCCCCGGTGCCGCCCGGCACAGGCACGGAGCATCCCTCACTGCAGACACGAGTTTGTTGGGTCTCAGAGCAGCCCTGAACGGTCGGCGCTGGCGACAGGGAAATCACGGCGGTGCAGGGGGGTTCGGGGTGGGCTGGGAGGGGGCCATGCCCCATGGCGGCGCATGCCAGAGCCGGGGCGCTGTGCCCCCCTCTCCGTGGCGGCGGGAGGCTCACCTGTGGGGAAGGGGCACCCCGGAGCAGGGGCGCGGGGCGCGCCT